GAAATTGGCATATCTTATTTAAAGTCACTGGAATTCTAGAGATTTTGACCAGCTAAATATATGACCTCACATCTGAATGTTGAAAGACTGAGCAGTCATGGTAGGTTTTTGCATCAAAGAGTATAATTTCCCTTTTACTACTTGTAACAAGTTATGAAAATCATGTTCCTGCGGATTGGGAAATATTTACCTTATTTCAAAGGGACATGCATTGTGAGTTATTGCTCACTGATGAAATAAGATGTGCCCAATCTGTCCCTCAGTTTAGACCGAAAAATTGTTGCTGTTGCCTGTGATTTTAAATAATGTGTAGTGTACCTTTACCAACATATGGTAGTGTCTTTCTAAGACATGCTACGTATGATTCTTCTGGAAGTTACATTAGAGTGTCTCTGATACGGAGATGTCATGGAACAGCAGAGATTATCAAAAATTATAATGCTGACTTTATGTTAGCAATTAACTAAAACACAGTAGTTTTGAAATAGATAATCAACCATTTATTTTGAATTTTGAACTAAAGAAGTTAGGCCAAAGGGGTTGAAAAGATAATAATGTAAGACAGCTAAACACCATTAATATAATTATTTGATAAATTTTACTAAAGTGATGATTATTTTTACATAGGTATCTATCTTCCATGGAAATGAAAGCAAAAAAAAAAAAAAAAAAAAAAAAAAAAAACAAAAAAAAAAAAAAAAAAAAAAAAAAAAAAAAAAAAAAAAAAAAAAAAAAAAAAAAAAAAAAAAAAAAAAAAAAAAAAAAAAAAAAAAAAAAAAAAAAAAAAAAAAAAAAAAAAAAAAAAAAAAATCATACTGAATCTATTAAAAAGAGGAATGGATTCCCAAACTGTAATGTGGACTTCATGGGTTTGAACTGCTAAGAGAATAGTGTATCAGAACATTAACAAAATCTTTGACTAATGGGTTTTGCTGTGTCTTCTGGACAAGGTTCAGAAAAGAAGATGGAAAAAAATTATTTTCCTAACACATCAGTGATTTCTCAACAGAGATATCCTCTGGGACTGATTGAACTAATCTTCTAGTATTTCAACGTACTTCCAGCATAGAAATAATGCCTTTAGCGTTAAGGGGTCTGTAAAAGAGGCTATGCCAATGAAATAGAGCATCTTTTCATTAGTTCTTTATCCCTTGGTTGGTGAACCCAGTTCTACCTGCAGTAGGTACCTCTGCCCACAGAGGTTAAACTTGTTCCATGAATAATTAAATGTTGCCCAGATGGCATTGCAAAAAACTTATGGATGGTGTGCACTAGCAAAGATCTGGAGAATCCGGTCCTGAACATTTAGTTTGTGTAATCTCAGTTTGTGCTAAAGTTACACCTCACTAGTGAGCACTCAAAAGAGCTTTATAAAAGTTATAAATCAAGTAACAACTTCTTTAGTACAGAATTAGGATTAGTATGTGTATTTTATAGTGAGGGAGATAAGAAACATGAGTTAAAAGTCTTTTTAGTCCCTGCCATGGTAAAAACCTCACTAGCAGAATGAGGTTTGTATGTAATTGTAGAGTAAGATACCAGTTCATAGGTCTTTGCCCATTTTATCAAAAAAATTTAAAAAATATGATTCAATCTTGTGCTGTCATCCCCCACACAAATATTCCTGTAGTCCAAATTAATGTACTTTCTGATCTAAATTAATAAATGCTTATTAGCCTGTAGTGATTTCTGCCTTCTATTTTCTTTGTGAAGATGTATTTCAAGTAATTTGACACATACAAAGAGGCCCCCTGCATGTTAGGCACACTCATGGTTATATATATATGTAAGTAATTATAATCATAGCTACCTCACGCAGGCTTAGCTGGCAAACTGAGTGGGGATTGGACCAGATGACCTCCGAAAGAGCCTTCTAGCTTTAATTACCCTAAGACTTTAAGTTTCAAGTTTGAGTTCTGACCCTCTTAAGCCATCTCTTTTCCAAACAGGGAAACTAGCTTTATGTAGAGCAGTCTTGCACACATCTTGCAATGGCATTAATGTCAGAAAGTGGGCATATCTCAAACAGTGACATTTTGTATCAGTATCTGAAACATTAACTTTCAAAAAATTATACTGTAATCTGCAAATAGGTATATATGTGTTTCTTTGCATATCTATATTACTAGATTTGAAAACTTCTAGCAGTCATGAAAATAAAAACAGTTTTCAATATGCATTTAGGTATAATCTGGGCTTTATTGAATTTGTTCTGGACATTAAAAGCACTGGCAAAATTTAGGCCATATAATCAGAAGGACTGATCTGAAAGTCTTAAGGAGATGAAAAGGGTTTTGTCATTATCACTTTCATTAGTATTAATGGCATTACACAACTAAAGCCCTGCTCATCTGGATACAGATGCACCTCTGATCGTTCTGGCTCGTACGCAGTCTTACATGGACAGACATTTAGTCAATTGGATACCCATGCTAACTTATGATCCACTTAGAATTCAGATAAAAGCTGGAATTCAGTGGCCTTTTTCCCTAGTTACACTGGCTGTGTTCTCTCTCCACTCCCTCACACTAATCTCATAAGGCATTTGCTGTTTTTTTGAGATTTGAAGCGCCAAAATGGCTTGAAATGGCAGATGAGCAAAGATTATTTCTTTAATATTATTTCTTTAATCTTAATTTTATTAATCTTAATATTATTTCTTTAATTTCTTCTTATAATCAAAATGTATTTCTTTCCTACAAATAATTACCAAGAGGAAATGGCAGTTTTAGTGACTGTGGGCCACTGTTCAATAAGGTTGTTGTAGATTTGAGACAAGTCCTAGACAAACATACTTTTTCATCATCTAATCTTGCACTGTCCAGTACACCAGACTCTACTAACTAGCTGTTTGACTTCTGAAGTTTTCTCATCACATTAATATTCAGGAACGCGTTGCCTTTGTGAAAGAATGTATTTTATTTACTTTTTTTTTCCATTCAGAAAAACTATTATTTTCAGAGAATGGATGTTTAATTGGTTATAAAACAGGAATATGGCTTTTTATACATGAAGTTAGGTTTTTTCATTCACTTTGCACCAACTGAAAACATATAGTGTCTTCTGTTTGGAAAGACTTTTTTTAGAAGGATTTCCTTTCCTCCAGGAGGGAGAACCTTGCTTCAGTTATGTTCCTTTGAATTACAATTACATCTTTGAACTCCAGACAGCTGAATAAACAAATTTCCCCCACCAATTTAATTATCCTGGCCTGTTTGTCAGTACGAGCAGAATACTATGTAGCACATTGCCAATTAAAACTCTGCTTTTGATTGCCAGTAAAACACTACAGGTTCAGGCCTATGTAGCCAGAGGGAGGAGTTTGGGTTGCCTATTCTCGATCTGGGAAGCTGAAGCTCCCAGATGCATACTGCTGGTGCAGGGTGGGTTAGGTGGTGCCTGGAGGCTGCAGTCAGTGGTACTTAGTACATGTAATGAAGGCATAGATTAACCTAGCTTCACTAGCAGCTTCCAAGCTCAATTCAATGCAATGCAAGACTGGCTCTTTCATGCATGCTATGCATTCCTAGTTGTTACAGCCCTATGCACAGTCTCAGACTGCTTCAAATTTCAGCACCTCCTGGGAAGCAGAGTCTTATACAGGGAGACATAGATGTGCTGTGGCTCTTTCCTATTAGGCTGTGCCCATGGGGAAGAAAGAAGCTAAAGCCTCTTTCGTAGTGAAGTTGTATTTGTGTAGTTGGTTTGCAGCTCCCAAATGCCCAATACAGGAGATCCTTCAGGCCATCCACTCTGGGTAGGTATAAACAGGATGCAGCAGGGTAGCACTGTCGGGAGGAGTGGGCAAGACCTCAGCTGAGCAAAGAGCTGTGTTAACAGAATGGCTCTCTGAGACTCTGGGACTAGTCATCCCTTCACTATTGCACCTATGACCATGGTCAGCTGTGTCCACTTTCAATCTTGTGTGCCACGCATGAGTTCTAGCCCCCATGAGAATCTACTTCTCTATGCTCTTTCCTACTTCTGTACAGCTCCTGGTTGAAACAGGAAAATAATTAAATTTTCTGCTTTTGTCCCATTCGCTAGCTTAAGACATTTGTAGTATCATTAAGATTTTTCATATCCAGCAGTGTTCAAACTTTGTCACAGAAGCAGGTCAGGAAAGAAGGGCACTGGCATATTATGCAAAAAACTTACAGTCGCCTAGCACCATTCAGCTGATTACCACTGACGTTCTGAAATGAAAATATCTGATGTCGTCATATTCTAAAGTAGTTTCTATGTTCTCCTCTAGAACTGGAGGCACAGATTTTAAGAAAACAAAACATCAACTAAGGCTAGTCTCTACATATTTCCGATTCCTAACTTGCCCTTTTTACTGTGCTAAGCAGGTTGAATTATACTAGATCTGCTGTCATACTGCCCAGTAGCAGAAAAAAAAAGGGTAGGCAGATTTTTATCCTCTCTCAGTTCTGGTTAGCAAAAGTGAAAATGAAAACCACTGGCAAAAATTTATGCTGAACTTTCCAAATGCACAATAAGCTCAAGTTCATCAGAGTGGAGAAAAGCTGCATGACAGTTTGTTTGAATGAATCTAATTATTGGTCTTGTCAGCAATGTGTTGCATCAAATCGTTCTCTCAAAGAGAAGTAAGGCAACAACACTGTGTACATACTAAGTGATATTTTGGTGGAGAGTTGCATAAGCTAAGTGACAATTAGATTTGTTTCATAACAGGTCCCACCTGAGTCAGTGAGAGAAAAAATAGGCATGCCAAAGGTGATAAGCACTGATGTTCCTTCAAATAGACAGAATATGATCTCAACTGTAGTAAAACGAAATGTTGCTAAAGCGAACTGTAACCTCAACTGTTATGTGTCATCCTTACTGTGAGTCTCTTTCTATAAAGCAGGCAGTTTTTCAATGTTTTGTACAGTACTATTAAAACCTGAATTATGTATGTATTGTCTCTGAGGAGGTTGCCTAGAAATTCGTATTTTTCAACACTTTTCATTTCTTCATTTTTATTTCTTTAACAGTTCCACCCAAAAGGGAGATGATGATTATGAAGATTACACTTCAAATAAGACTTGGGTTTTGACTCCCAAAGTCCATGAGAGTGATGTCACTCTTATTTTAAATGGCTTGCTGGAAGGATATGACAACAAGTTGAGACCTGACATAGGAGGTATGTTGTTTTTCTTTTTAGGCCACTTTTGATTAAGTGGTGAAGAGAAAGACTTTTCATACTATATTATGCTACACAGGAAGCAGAAACCATTCAAAGTACTTACAAAAACAAAATACAATGTAGTAAAACATCAGTGGCATGAAAAGTAGTCATGATTATTGGAAGCTGACATAAATTAAGGTTGCTAAATCTATTCTGAGACATCTAATAAGACTGCTGTGATTTGCTGAATCAGGCTGCTTGTAATGATGCACCCGCACATGAAGTTCAGAATTTAACTTTTGGGGAATGAAAAAGCAACTTTTTATCTTCTTTGTATATCTAGGTGAGGGTGTTAGAGAATCACAAATAATGTATTGGAAAGGAAGACCAAAATAAGGATAACGCAGCCTGATCCCTGCATGATGCGATGGACGCAGACAGAGCCTCTAACAGCAGCAGGTCTACATTGACTGGTGCGGCATGGGCCCTCACTTGCACAGCAGGGCAAGAAGTGACTGGGGAATGGGGCACAGAGAAAGAGGTTCACAAAAGATAACTGCAGTCAAGTAAGGCCAACCTCCCTAGATTTCCCCCCACAGCCAATATAAGTATATAGACCCAAGCTTGGACTCATAATGGAAGTCTTATTTGACTGAATCACCTTCTGCAGGAATCTTCCTCTCCACTGATTACTGAGGGAGTTTGAAGAGATAAATCTCTCTGAGCTGCTGCAAGTCAGTTTGAGAAGGCCCCATGTGTGCACAGAACAGGCAGACAATACCTCTGCAGAAGAAGATACAGCAGTAATAAGATTATAGAAAAACGCAAAGAGAATTCTTGGATGAGGCAGGCAGAGGAAAGCAGAGAGCAGAAAAGTTAATGAAGGAAGCTGTTTCTAACAAGTTTATAGAGGCTTATAAACGAAGGAATTTTTCACAGTGAGGGATAACATGAGTATTTAACCTTCAATTTATGTATACAGTGTAAATTAACAGAGGAATTTGTATTATTCTCCCAATCCAAGACTTTTGAGAACAGAAAGGAATTAAGCATTCATAAAAGCATCTGGAAAAAACAATCATGTTTTAGTCAAGGTGTATAAGAATAATAAAGCTGCAATAAAGTAATTTCAAAATAAATTAATCTAACAACTGTTTGTCATTCCTGTTTTAGAGCCTTAAGTATTATTTTTGCTTTGGGCTCATGAAATTTTTACTTACCTACAGCCATCTCTGCAGGCAACAGCAGTCATGTGCATTTAGCATTTTAATGTAAAACGAGTGATGCAAGACATCATAAGAAGCATAAGTTTGCTTTCATTGATAGTGTTTTGTCAGATGTGTTGCTGTGACCTGACACAAAATATACATACTCTCAGTGAGATATGACTCACCTAAGGTAATGACACTGGTTTCAGTATTTGTTCTCATAGCATAAGTGAATTTGTTCTGATAGAATAAATGATATAAGAATTTGTCTCAAAGTGTCTCCAACTAATTTCAAACTGGAGAAATTACTGCAAATTTATATTTATTGTATATGCACATTTAAATGTGAGGCAACCATAGCCATACAAGAGAGGTACTATAATAATCTTTTGCTTGTGTTTAACTTTCAAGTAGTTGATTTTGACCTTCACTCATGTTACTGATTCTTGCCGTTTCTCTTACAGTTAAACCAACAGTAATTCACACTGACATGTATGTAAATAGCATTGGGCCTGTGAATGCTATCAATATGGTAGGTAAATGATTGCCAATTTTTCTACAATGTTCACTTTGTTACAAAGCCTCCATCATTTTTGACATTACAAAGCTTCCATTAATTTTAATGTTGTGCTACACTATATTATTTTTAAAACCTCATTATTATTATTATTATTATTATTATTATTATGGATGTGAGGACTATATGAGCTATGAATCTCTTCAAGACAGGGAAACTGAGCTCAGGTGAGGTAAAATTGTCTAGCCTTAGCACAATGTCTACCTCATTCTTGTAGTTTTCATGTGTAGAAATAAACTTCAGGTTGCTCTTTTCCATTCTATAATTCCCTTTGCATCTTCTGGCTGCCCAGCGGTGCCAGGGAAAGTGAGACTTCACCACTTCTGATATTAACTGTGGGGCACAGGCAATTAAGGCAGCCAAGTCAGTTCAAATTTTTCCTGTCCTAGAACCAAGGGAATAAGTAATTGTTCTCTGACCTGATCAGGTGTGGGTTGAGGTGTGGGGACACAGAATTAGAAAGGTGCATATCCCACTCAATTGCATTTTAGTTTCACCTGTCAGTGGGAAAATAACAGAATAAATTACTTTTAAACAATAATCTTTGGTAAACCATGCCCTCAAAAATTGACAAAAAATTGTTTTTGTCAGTTCTAGTATCATCTTCTGTAGTTCATGTTTTTTCATATGAAATTAAGGAAAACATATCAGGAGTTATGTGAAATGCTGAGTGCTATGTTTTCATCAGTATTTCTGGTTAACACAACAGGAATATACAATTGATATATTTTTCGCCCAAACGTGGTATGACAGACGTCTGAAGTTCAACAGCACTATAAAAGTGCTCAGATTAAACAGCAACATGGTTGGGAAGATCTGGATACCAGACACATTTTTCCGAAATTCCAAGAAAGCTGATGCTCATTGGATAACAACTCCTAATAGGATGCTCAGGATCTGGAATGACGGCAGAGTGTTGTACACATTGAGGTATTTATATCTGACTTTAATTTCAGTTTCTATGGGGAAAACCAAAGAGAAAGGTCCTGTGAATTCAGGTCATTTGACATTAACCTGAAGGAAAAAACATTGGGTTTCCCATTTACTTATGCATCCAACCTTGAAAAAGGGAAATATTTAGAAGATATTACTTGCATGTAATTTATTTTATATTGGCACAGTAAAGAGTTGTATTTCTTCCCATAGATTGTACTGTCTTGCTCTACAATAGTCACATTCTTATACTAAAATGAATATAAGCATTGTTATAGTAATTAATCTTCATTTCATATATGATTCTATGATTTCCAGCTATATGTTTATTGTTTGCCACTGGTTTGGTCCATATTGCCTTTTACCTTTTTATTGGGTTATAACGATGAATTCAAAATATCCTTGAATTAAGTAGATGGTATAAAAGGAAGTATTATATACATCCAAGGCATCTTATTCTTAATTGATTACAATTTAGCTAGATGAAGCTCCACCCTTCAAAAGTATTTAATTCCTCAAATATCTTATGAAAATAAGGATTATCATTTCAGCATTGGTCATTTAAAGTTTAATACAAAACCTACAGATACGCCCTGTTCCACTAAAATTTTCATGAATCTGAACTTGATATGCTCATCTCCAGATTTCTCAGGCACGTATATAGCTTTTCTTTTGAGACAGATTACCTTTAAAAACTATCTTTTCAATAATTGTTATGTGTATGCCTACATTTAAGTGTAACGTATGCAATATGTAACAATTCAAATATCATATTCCCAATAACCATAAGATACTTCCTAAATGTGAAAATCCTAAGTACATTTTTTTTTCCTTTTTCTTACATGTGATATAATATTTGGTCATATGTAAAATGTAGATAAAGACAGCATTTGTTCAAGAGAATTTATAATTTAAAATGAGAGTAGAGAATCAAACATGTTAGACATAAGACCATCTGAGTTTTAGACTGCATTTTTTTTCAAAGTATTTTTTCTGCTTTTGTTTTATTTGGTGTCAAAAATAATGTTTTAAAGAAAAGTACACTAATAATTTTAATGACTAGATCTGAAGCTTTGGTTAAGACAACCTTTTAATGTTGCAACTGTCTGATTTACAAAAAGGAGTTTTATTTCATAGCTATTTTACGTTCATTACACATTCCGTTGTCAGAAGAGATAAGAGAATGATCGGAATTGAAATCCCGTGCAAATCAAAGGCAGTCTGATAAAGAAGATCCTAGGTCCACTTTTGAAATGTTAAATTTGGACTTAGCCACACTACTGTCTCTTTGGATTTCATTACATTTCTCTTCAAGCCCCTCAGTTCCCCTCATTAGAAAGAGAGATATCTGATAGAACGTAGAAACACTTATCTGTTATTAATGTATGCTTAGATGTTGTAGTGAGTCACAGCAAGCACCACTAAGGATTCAAGCTGGATTAATCCAGAAGTGAAATGTGATAGTATCATCACAGATCTGGGATTCTGTCCTGAAGAGAAGGGGGCTCCAGAAGAGCTGGTTGATTTTCTCAATCACCTCCCCCTAAGCTCAAGAACAGTCCATCCTGACCAGCAGGAAATCAAGCAAAGATAGCAGGCAGTCTGCATGGATCAACACACTCCTGACAAAACTCAAATGTGAAAAGAAAATGTACTAGAGGTTGAAGCAGGGACAGGTGACCCAGGAGGAATACAGAGATGCTGTCCGAGCACTCAGGGACAGGGTTAGAAAAGCCAAAGTTCATCTGGAGTCAAATCTGACTAGGGACATGAAAGCAAGAAAGGTTTCTACACATACATACTCAGCAAAAGGAAGACTAGGGAAAATGTGGGCGCACCACTGAACGGGAAAGGGGACCTTGTCACAAAGGACACCAACAAAGCCAAGGTTCACAATGACTTTTTTGCCTCAGTCTTTACTGGTAAAACCCTGCCTTCAGAAATTCCAGGTCCCTGAGACCAGTAGGAAAGTAGAGCAAAGAAGACTTACCTTTGGTGGAAGAGGATGAGGTATGGGCTACATAAGTGGACACTGAGGTGGATTGAATATGCCTGAACGGCCAGGCTCAAAGGGTTGGGATCAGTGGCGTGAACACCAACTGGAAAGCAGTCACTAGTGGTGTACTCCCCAGTTTTGTACTAAGCCAATACAGTTTAACATCTTCACATCTTCATTAATGACCTGGACAATGGGACAGAGTGCACTCTCAGCATGTCTGCAGGTAATACAAAACTGGGAGGAGTGGCTGGTATATCATAAGGTTGTGCTAACACTCAGAGGGACTGCAACATGCTGGACAACTGGGCCAACAGGAATTTCATGGAGTTCAACAAAGGAAAATGTCATCCTGAACCAGGGGAGGAATAACCCCATGCAGCAGTACCGGGTAGGGGCTGACCAGCTGAAAAGCACCTTGCAGAAAAAGACCTGGGGATCCTGGTGGACATTCACCATGAGCCAGCAAAGTGCCCTTGAAGAAAAGGCAAACAGCATCCTGGACTACATTAGGAAGACCATTGCCAGCAGGTCAATGGAAATGATCCTTCTCCTCTGCCCAGCACTAGTGAGACACGTCTGGAGTGCTGGGTCCAGTGCTAGGCTCCCCAGTACAAGAGGGATATGAGCTTACTGGAGCAAATGCAGTGAAGGCCCACTAAGATGCTGAAGGGCTGGGAGCATCCGATGTACAGGGAGAGGCTGAGGGAGCTGGGACTGTTCAGCCTAGAGAAGAGAAGGCTCGGGGGATCTTATCAATGCGTGTAGTGTGGGTGGGGGTAAAGAAGGTAGGGGATGGAAGGGGTAAAGAAGACATAATCTCAGTGGTATCCAGTGATAGGACAGGAGGCAATGGGCACAAGCTGAAGTACAGGAAATTATGTTTAAACATAAGAAGAAACTTTTTTACTGTGGGAATGGTCAAACAGTGGAACAGGTTGCCCAGAAAACTTCATGCCTGGAGATGTTCAAAGCCTGGATTGTGCTTTGTGTTGTGGAATGAAATCTACTCAATTCCACAAGAGAAAAATTAAAACCATCAGTAAATCTGAGCCTATCCCAAATTCAAACAGTGTTAAATATATTCACCAGAGGAAAGGCAATATCGAAGAGAGATCTTAATCATTTTTTGGATCCATATTATGATTATCTTGAAATGAAACTGAAGATGATGGAAATAAGAAGAGAAAGAAAGAGCAATAATATTAGCACACAGAATCAGGTCTCCTTCTGTGTCACAAACAGAATTTCCCTTAATTTCAAAGGAAATTAGGTATGTTCCTAAATCCCTAATGCAGAAAAGTTTCCTTTTGACTTCATTAACTTGGTGGCTAGTGGTCACAGCATCCCTCTGCATCCCACAGTATGAGACTCGGGGAGTCATTTGCATGCAGCACCTACATGCAGGAGCCAGGAGACAAACGCAGCTCACAGGGTTGCTCATTTGAAATACTGCTTATCAGTAACCATGATGTCTTCCTATGCTTGGAATATCCAAATTAATACATACATATCAATAGTTTACTTTTGCTTTATATATATATATATATATTTACATATTTCATAGTCAGGTTCCATATTAGTAAGAATCTCATTCTGCTTGCCGTGAGTTAGCTTTCAGGACAAACTTCTCAAGTGCGTCCTGTATATCTCAATCTCTTTCTCCTCAGGCTGACAATTGATGCTGAGTGTCAGCTACAGTTACACAACTTTCCAATGGATGCCCATTCCTGCCCCCTGGAATTTTCAAGCTGTAAGTAACATGCTTAGAAATATCCCTTTCCTGACCCACATTGAACCTCTTATTACAAATTTACATATACATAGTTAGCGTCAGCGAGGTTTGTGTTCTTAACTAGACATAGTCCAATGGTTTTCAGTTTATGACCTTATTTTCAAGTACATGAATCATATACGTTCACAAATATAATCAAGGAAGGCTATATAAAAAATGATACAATTTCTGGGACATATGTGATTAGTTTATGCTTATATCTTATCATAACAGTAAAAATTTTTACTTTTAGCATCAAAGTCTCATGGCCTGATACTTCCTCTCTGTGCATGGGTGTTTCACTATTGCAATAGCTGGAGTCAAGAGTTTGACATTTTGCAGCCAGGTCAACGTGTGAATTCCTAGTCCAGCTGCAGACTTTTTGGCCATAATTGAAACATGGGCAAAATTGCATCCTATTGGGTCCACAAAAGTGGAAAAGTCATTTTTGAAAAATTTATCTCAAGTGCTATTTAATTTATAATAAATAAAATAAAATGTGACATTAAGTAAAAAGCACTACTAAGTAACTTGAGAAAAACATATCTATAATTTACTTGCAATAGGCTTCTCCAGTTTTTTCCAGAAATAGAAAATAGTATTTTTACTCCCCAAAGTACACTAAAATCTTAGCAATGACTATGAAACAAAGCATTCTGTATTTTCCATTGCAATAAGATGGCTACCCAAGAGAAGAGATCATTTACCAATGGAAGCGCAGCTCAGTGGAGGTGGGAGACACCAGGTCCTGGAGGCTTTACCAGTTCTCCTTTACAGGATTAAGAAATACAACTGAGGTGGTGAAGACTACTTCAGGTAAGACAACTGATCTGTTTACCTTCAGATTCATGAGGATTTTATTAATAGAAAGACAAAAAAGAAAGATATCTCTGTTTAGAACTTAGCACTGGCACTTCACTGAACAATTACAGGCTTTTAAATACCTGTGGAACCATCCAGGCTTTATTATTTCTGAAGAAGAACTCAGAGGAAGAAAAATAAGTTGTCTACTGTCCATTCTTGTCCTCCAAGAAATACCTAGAACTGTCAGGAGAAAGCCACTACCACAAGGGGGGGGGTGGGGGGTGGTGGTAAAAAAAAGGGGGGTGGGGGGTGGTGGTGAGGGAACTCCCTATCCTGCTTCTCTGTAGAAAACAGCACAGCCGAGCCACTAAATGATAATCTGATACTGATTTGAATATTTTACAATCCCCTTCCAACTTCCAGAAGCAGAAAGTGGGCCTGAACAGAAATGAAACTCGAAGTCCCAACCTCTTTACTACAGCAGCTCCAAGTTTATTTTGTTCCTTAAAACAGGGCACATTCAACTCTCACTAAAGAGAACAGCCTTACAAATCAGAGTCTCAGATGATTTTCCTGCATATTTCTATCTCCTTGGAAACAACTAATGGAATTTAAAATGATAAATGAGGAAGTACTCAGTCTTTAATAAAGAAAGCAATTTTAACCCTACTAACTAAGCAGGAAAATACATTCTTCTAGGCATATATATTGTTTTATTCCTCAGTGGAAAGAAAATAATTGAATATGAGAAAGGATGTAAAGAGGAATTGCATAGTAATATTCTTGCATGTGCATGGTACCCCTCGTCTTTGATTTCTTACTTGCAAAAAGAACAGTAAAATGAAAGTAGTTTTTCTTTTCAGGTTACTTTTGATTTTTACCTTATTTTATTGTTCTGGCAAATATATTGTTTTAAATTCAGACATCTGTGTTAATTCTGACTTCAGAAATATCCCCATCCATTTTCTTTCTAAGAGATCAGCATTGCTCTTACATTCAAAAGGAGAGTGAGATATGCTAGAGTTGAGAGGAGCCTGCTGTGCCTTACACTGGAGTGCAAACAAAGAGGTTGAGAATTAATTCAAGTTCCAACTCCTGAATCACTGGACGTTAAGCACCAATGACATGTTTAGTCTTATGAGCAGGGCAAAACGGAATGAAGCCTCCCAGCTGTAGCCACATTTGCCTTATGGCATCTTCTGCCATTTCAGCTGAGGAAGATATTTAGTCAGCTATTCAAGAAAGCATTTGACCTTTCTCATTTTCCCAGAAAATAAAAATAAAGGTGCGAAAGAGGACAAGAGAGCCGTGTGTATGTGAGCCATAGCTGCTAATAACCACCATTATACATGACATGGTGTAATTGCTCTCAAAGCAAAAATATAAACAGCAATACATCTCACCTCAGACTGCCCCTGCAACAGGCAAAGCACAAAAGGCAGCAGTGTGCCCAAGTGTGGTCTAAAGTCTCATCCTGCCCAGGTTGAAAACTAACTTTTTTCCAGCCTTAATTTGAGTTTCTTTTATTTGCTCTTTTTCTTTCCTTTTCTGTTTGAGCCATTCTCTAATAACTTTTTTTTTTTGCCAGAGATAGAAAGTAATATAATCATAACATGCTACAAGCTTCAGATCCACTGATTCAATGCATCTTGCACCTGTGAATCAAAAGCACTCTCTAATGTTCTGCTAATGTGAAGAAAGTGCTTGCTGGGAAACAAACAGTAAAACACAGAAAGCAATAAGATACTTTCTCATGCAAAGAAAACCTTTTCTTGTTTCAGGAGATAGTCATTCAAGCTTGTAGTACTCACCTGGAGTACTACCATAATGTTGCATCAGTAGTTTTTAATATGACCACACACACCAGCCCTCTTAATTTGCTTTTAAAAAAAAGGAATTAGCAGCTAGCATGCCCTTTAAAGCAGCAAAGAGTCACTCTAGTCATCACTCGATTCCCAAGAAGAAATGCTCATGAAAGCTACTCAGCCTGCTGAGCTGCTTTCAAAGACCTGCTGAGTATAAAAACTTGGAAAAATATCCTGTATATATATTTGTTCTGCTGCAGTTCTCTTATGTTTGATTTTCCTTGCTCCTCTTGTTTTTATGACCACAGATATGCAAGAAATTTAGACTTGATTTTGATCTAGGTGCAGTATCTAAATAATTAGAAGGTGAAAAAAAAAACCCCAGCAAAATAGGGATTGTCATAAATCTGGTCTATCTCCTACAAATATCTTGCTAAAGCTATAGCAGAGCCTAAAGAATGTTCATTGCTTACCTAAGTGCCTTATTAGCATGCTGGGAACTACATTAAGTCCAATATCTCTCTGCCAGACCCATATTCTACCTATGATTTCTCTCTTACATGCACACATTTTCAATAGAGTTTCCCCAAAAGAAAAGACAAGAAAAATATTCCAAGCTTATAGGATTATTAGCAATCTGTGTGCAGTCTGAGTACACAAGTTGAATGTTTGAATGCCCATATAGCCAAAATAAGTCTTGAGACTTTATGCAACTAATTGCAGTGCTGCGTATAACAGAATTAGGTACAAACTAGTGACAGTACCATTGCCAATACTTCGGTGGGGATATGAGCTGAGGTACAGTGGAGGCAATGGAAAGATTAATGAGATGTTGGAAAGAGGACTATACCATACTTCCAAGAACTCTTCCCCAAAACTAAATTTAGATGACAACAGAAACCAGAGAAACCTGAACACAAGAAAGGGGAACTAGAGAATATGAGATTGAACAGTTACAGAACCGAAGGAGCCTGGGAGTAGCGTTAAGGCATTTGAAACTGGAGTAAACTTTCCATATCTGCATTTACTCCATTTCAGAACAAACTCGTTTCCAGCTTCATGTCTCCCAGTGACTAACACATTCTAGTCCTTGAGGGCTATGCTTGCTTGGTGACTGGAGCAGAGAAGAGAATCAGAAAGGATGGCTGAGACTTGGTCATTACAATCTCTGTTACCTCTCTTTCTGTTGTGCCATAGCTGAACATTTGAGATCTGGGCTGAGTTATGGGCAGAGAAGGACAAAGATTTTCTGAGTGCAAGCTTCATAAGATCTGACGAACTTGCTGAAGTGACTACATTTATCTGCTGTTCTTCCTTTGCATGCGCTGCAGAAATATAAGATTAACTGCAAGGGCTAGATGTCAGAATTCTGTCCCTGATCAGTTAGCAAATCCCGATAACAGCAGAAAAAAGCAACTAGAATATTACAAGCCATCCTGTCTGTTTCTCTCATCTGAAGTGAGTCATCCTGAATTGTCAGCTTGTTTCTCTCCAAACTGAACATTCACATGTGACAGATTTTCTTCGAAAGTCACAGACCAAACAATAAGAAATGACTTAGCCAATAGAATCCACTATCCATTAATAGCGGGGACTGTTAAGAAAGTTAACTCTCAACCTTCTTCCCTATGAACGTTTCATTAATATGACTAAATAGTCTGTACATTTAATAATATATTACCTGTATTTATTTTTTGCTTTTTCACTACAACCTACGCTGTGTAAACAGCAGTGGTTTAGTTCAGATTATTTGCAATAAAGTGCATGTTAAGACATAATATCATCCGAGTTATATAAACTACTACAGTTAACCTCACACACTTATAAACTGAGATGAGTTTAAGGTTTATTGTATTATTGAAGTATGTCCATAATCACTGCTCAAACAGTGCATATTTTGGTCATTTATTAAAAAACTACCATTTCTCTTGTGTGAGCTTTTTGCTCACAGTGTAAGGCCCCATCCACTGAATGGTAGTGAGATTCTCCAGTAAAAAAGGGATGAACTAATAGAAAAGTCTAGAGAATAAAAATTCGCCAATTTCTGAAATTTGGATGAACGCTGCCATGAGTAGTCCTTACACAGGAAGCTTCAGATTGACAAAATCCTACTTCAAACCTAATGCTGTGGTTGCATAGTAAAGCCAGTTGCTTTACTGACATGTTCAGAGTTCATGTTATACTTACAATATCTTTAGTTATTTCAGGGTGTGTGATTTCTTAGACATTTGGTCTCTACATGGGACAAATTTAAAACTAGCCAGCAAATGCGGCAGAAGGTGGACACGTAGCATAAAAAGAGTTGTATCACACAATAAGCAGCAATAATAAAGAGAAGAAAACCAAAAATGACTGCTCTAGCTATGCTGTAACAGGATGTACCTTTCCGTCCATATTCTCATTTAGTGTTACACAATACATTTAATTCAAATGAATGTCAGTTCTTCTTTTTTGCTTTAAAAACTATTCTATATCTAATTTCTGACCTTTTATATTCACTGTGGATTTAAAATAAGAAACAAATTAGATGAGAAAATAGTTCAGCAAGTCCACTACTTGTGAATCATATCAGCCGATGCTGCTGTTCTTCACTTTTTGGATGTCAAAATGAAAATATAGAGCTTATCTAGAATCACATTATAGAACAAAAGGTGTCTATTGCTTAGGGGGCACTTCAAGGAAGTTTTTCTAGAGAACTCTCTCAACTCAAATTTGACTAGTGAGAAAGATAAGCTTTAATTTTTCTGATTGTTACTGCAATGCAACAAGTGATACAGAAGTGTAAGATTTGCAAAATATAATGCACAAGTGGATGACAACGATCAGGGACATGTTGCACTTTGGGAACAGGAAAATAGGAAAATTCCAAAATTTGTAATTAGTTACTTTAAATAAAGAGTGAAAGACTGTAGAAAGGAAATAATCAAATGCACAAATATAAAAAGATCAGTAGCTGTGTAAAAAAATTCTGGGGGCTGTAGTAGTCTACAAACACACAAGGATAGAGAATGTGATACTGTTGCAAAAAACCACCTTTTTTGGGATGCATTACTCAGAGTGTTGCGTGTAAACTTAGGAGAAATATTCACTGTTCTACTCTGTGAAAAACTGATGTCAAATGGTTGCTGCATTCTGCCTGATTAAAAAAAAAAATCACTTACATGCAACATTTTAAGAAAGACGGGAGTGCAGGAAAGTGTATTAAGT